GCTAATTTTTTGTATTTTTAGTAGAGACGGGGTTTCACCGTGTTGACCAGGATGGTCTCGATCTCTTGACCTCGTGATCCACCCGCCTCGGCCTCCCAAAGTACTGGGATTACAGGCGTGAGCCACCGCGCCTGGCCCTATTACTATTTTTTTGAGACAGGGTCTTACTCTTTCACCCAGGCTAGAATGCAGAGCACTGCAGCCTCAACCTCCCAGGCTCAAGCAATCCTCCCACCTCACCCTACTCAGTAGCTGAGACTACAGATGTGAGCCACCACACCCAGCTAATTTTAAAGTATTTTTTGTAGAGACAGGGTTTTGCCACGTTGCCCAGGCTGGTATCAAGCTCCTGACCTCAAGCTCGGCCTCCCAAAGTACCAGGATTAAAGGAATGAGCCACCATGCCTGGCCTGTTCCCTATTTTAAACAGGAGGAAATTGAGACTCAGAAGAATGAAATACCTTTCCCCAGATTATCCATCAAGTCTGTACATCAGAATTGACATTATAGCCTGAGCTAACTGATTCCAAAGCCCTGTGCTTTGCGAATTCCAATATAGTATAACAGCTCCAGTTGTTAGAGACAAGCATCAGACTCAGGTGTGGCTGACTCTAGCTATGCATGCCTTTAACCATTACTACTAGAGCTTTCTTTCTCTACGGACAAGTTACAAGAGAGGCTGTGGTATCAGAAGTTTGCTTGGGGGCATGGAATCAGAACAATGATATTAGCTAGCTTTTTTTTAATGAGTCATCCAGGCCGGAGTGCAGTGTTGCAATCATAGTTTACTGCAGCCTCAAACCCCTGGGCTGAAGTGATCCTCCCACCTCCAAGTAGTTGCGAGTACAGGTGCACACAACCATGCCTAGCTTAATTTTTATATTTTTTGTAGAGAAAGGGTTTCGCCATGTTGGCCAGACTGATCTTGAACTCCTGAGCTCAGGTGATCCGCCTGCCTTGGCCTCCCAAAGTGCTGGGATTACAGGCGTGAGCCACTGTGTCCAGCCTTAGTGAGCATTTATTGAGTTCTTACACTGTGCCAAAGACAGCATGTTCTAAGTGCTTTATATGTAGTGTCTCATTGAATCCGTATATGAAGCTATGAAGTAGATACTTATTCTATTTTACAGATGTGGAAAGTGAGAGAAAACAATGGATGGTAGGTGATCTTAAGTTTCTCTTAGCTAAGACGGCTGCGGACACTGTTATCTACTCTAGAGGTCACCTAGCCAAGGAAATCCTCATTGAGACTTTGTTTATAGCAAGCCATCTTCTCTGGACAGAGCTGCTGCTGACTTCCTTTTTGACTCTTCTTTTTCTCTTTCAGTTGGAACAGAAAAAAAAAGAGTATGAGATAATTAAGAAAATCTTCCAGCTTATTAAATCTGGTTACACTCTAATCCTGTCTTCCTGAGATGATTTTTCAGTTGGAACAGAAAGAGAAGAGTATGAGATAATTAATGAAATGTTCCAGCTTATTAAATCTGGATACACTATAATCCTGTCTTCCTGAAATTGTTCCTAGGCCACAAGAGTTTTGTATGTTGTTAAATTTTTTTTTCATGTTTTTCTTTTTTGAGACACAGTCTTGCTCCTTCACGCAGGCTGGAGTCCAATGGCATAATCTCGGCTCACTGCAACCTCTGCCTCCTGGGTTGAAGCAGTTGTCCTGCCTCAGCCTCCCAAGTAGCTGGGATTACAGGAGTGCACCACCACACCTAGTGAATTTTTGTATTTTTAGTGGAGGCGGGGTTTTACCATCTTAGCCTGGCTGGTCTTGAACTTCTGACCTCAGTTATTCTGTCCGCCTCAGCCTCTCAGAGTGCTGGGATTACAGGTTTGAGCCACCATGCCTGGCCTGTTCTTAAATTCTTAAGTCACTTACTTGTAATGTTGTGGTTTCTTTATTGACTCCTTCAGGTGGCTAATTCATCCATTTTTATGGCTGTTACTATCCAGGTTGTTGGACAGTACTTCATAGTAAGCCCCATATTGTAGAGACTTTGAGACCAAATGATCTAGCTTTGAATCTGGCTCTGTTACTCACTAGTTCTGTGACCTTAGACAAGTTACTTAGCCTCTTTGCCCTAGTTTTCCCCTCTACAAACTTGGAGAAATTGGTATCTATGTTGCAGAGTTGTTATACGAGGACTAAATGAAAGTCTTCTTACTTTTTTTCAGGCTGTTTTCCTTTT